GAGAGACGGGGTATAGAGCAAGCAGAACTGTAGTAGGATGGAACAAAGAATGAAGAAAGAATTGTAGTGGGTTTTGATTTTTCGAATCTTTTGAGTAGGAAGGAACGAGGACCAGTGGAAGTTGCAAGGTATCACTAACTTGCTGTGACTGACATGAACATGATGGTGGACCCTCGGGGTAAGCCTTCCGGATAGTGCTGTCATTAATCATAACAACTACTACCTGCCACTTATATGTGCTGATACAGACAGGAGTAAATAATTAGTGCAGAGTGGGAACGCCAGAGTCGTCGCCTTCAAGAACTTTGGTCCTCAAAACTTCATTGGCTTTCTTCTTTTTGGATGGTTCTCTCTAGAGGCATTCTCTTCTTTCCTTTGGGCCCTCTCTTTTGTCCCCTTCATACTTTGGTTTTCCTTCGAACTCGATGCGGTGCTATCATGTCACTAACCCGGAAACTTCTTATTTATATTTATTTATTTGTTCCCATTCGAGTCTTTGTCGTATGAGACATTTGAGTGATATTGGCCACCACCTTCGGTGGTCTGTAATGTTCTTTGTTCACCTAACCCGAAGAAAGTTTGCAAATTTACCTTTGCTTCTACGATTTCAAGCCCAGGAAACAAGGCTGTCTTCAGGAAAATCCCAATATACATGTCTTTGAAGACTGTCTTAGACATATAGTTCAAGGGTTCATTTAGCTCTTCGAAATTTGATGTTCCCACCAGTAATTATTCTATTTGATAGATATTATTTGTATGTATGTATGTTGGTTAATCCTACTTGAGAGTTGAGATTACCTATTATGGTCAGACCAGAAGGCCACGTTATAGGGTCGTAATAAGTCTAGTCTAACTGATGGCAGTCGCATGTGCTTAGGTATATTTTATCCACCAAAAGGACAAATTTGACCCATGCCATATTTCGAGTGTGAACATTCGTGTCATGGCGTGCTATTCCTGCAGATCTGTTATAGGTTTTTGGGGGCTTTCTTTGTTTTTTTTTAAAAAAAGAAATATACAAATACGGTAAATTCTATGTCTAAACAAGTTACCCGCGCGGTAACAATCAGTCTGTCCGAAATGCAGATGTGGTTTAAAAGTTAGCTAGGATAAAAAGGTGGATGGAAAATATATAGATAACGTGAATAAGAGTAACTGGCAAGAATGAAAGGCAAAATATAGATAGCAGTCAAACTTGCAGTGGGTCCCATTAATTTGATATGATAATGCCGTCAGGGACGTTTGACCTTTTAGTGAGAAAACAAAACAAAAAATCGTCAACTTGGACTGGAAGTTATAAATTTTAATGTCCTTGACAGAAAATAGAATTTCAACAATTCATTCTTGATGAACTAACTCTAATTACTTGTGAGGAATGTCGGTGTTGTATACTCAGAGATCTTGGGTATCATATTATTATATGTTTCAAGCTGCTTGCAAAAGCTTTGCCGAAGTTATCATCTAATTCATGGAAGAAAAATCCATCTTTTATAATTTTTTTTTTGAAATAACATCAGCAAATCGTAATCATGTAGCAAAGTTCAATTTATTTATTTATTTTTTTTTTGAGCAGAAACAAAGTTCAATTTATTGGACTTTTAATTTTGAACATGTTTACATATTGCCAGTTTTCCTGATATGCTACTTTTGGCCGTATGCCTGCACAACTCATTTGTCCGAAGTCAGTGAGAATATATTCTTGCACTGTTTCAAGATTGACAGGCTTACAGCTAGCAACTTTTAAATTTCTTTTTTTGCCTTGATTATTTGGTTATATTACCAAGTTAACTATACCAACTACTGGAAGCCATATTTTATTTATGAAATGTTTCAGGGATTATGACATATGATGGCCTTGAGAGTTGCATTCTCAATAATCAATCTTTTGAAGATGAAAGCAGAACTAGTAGGGGAGATGGATGTATAACTGATTCAATTGACGATGACTACTCCAGCTGCTCATCAAGTAAAGATGCTTTTGGATCATTCTCTTCAAAATGTTTGACAATGAAAGGAGATGAACAAGGACTGGATGAATGGGAACTGTCAGAGAATCCCCATCATTTTTATGCCAAAGAGAAGAGATCCTATACAATTCAGTATTCAGATGTAGAAGCCATGAAAGAGAAGTTTGCGAAACTGTTGCTAGGAGAAGATGTTACAGGAGGAACTAAGGGCCTCAGTACATCTTTAGCACTGTCTAATGCCATCACAAACCTAGCAGGTATTCTCTACGTCCATTTTCCCTATCTTTCAGTTTTAATTGCAAACACAAGAAATAATGGTTCATCACTGAAAATAAGTTATTAGTTAGGACGCCAAAGACTCTAATGAAGGGGACTTTTTGATTCAAAGCTATATCTGCGATCCTAGAAATTTACTTCCAAGAGCACATACACTGATGCTCATTGAATTTTTCTTCTGGTTTTAATCTTTAGCAAATCTGAGCGTGAGTTGAAATATGCAGCAACTACTTTTGGTGAGCTGTGGAAATTGGAACCCCTTTCTGATGAGAGGAAGAGCAAATGGCGAAGAGAAATGGACTGGTTGTTGTCTCCTACCAATTACATGGTCGAGTTAGTTCCTGCCAAGCAAAATGGTGCCAATGGGGGGATGTTTGAGGTATCTATCAGTTTAGATTGACAGGAAAGCATATTTTGCATCTCAGATTCTAGTAAAATGACAGTCATTTTATCTTAAACAGATAATGACCCCAAAAGCTCGTGCAGACGTCCACATGAATCTTCCTGCTCTTCAGAAGTTGGACTCCATGCTAATTGTAGGTGATATCTATCTAGTCACCAAAGAACATGAAATGTCTGCCGTATAATTTACTATACTAATCCATCTATTTTGTGTTTTAATTGACAGGAGACACTAGATTTCGATGGTGAATACAGAGTTTTGGTATGCAGAGGGTGGAAGCCGGGCAGAAGGAAGGAACACAGGTGCAAAACAAAGCAAAAGATGGTGGTTACCATCGCCCCAAGTTCCAAAAGATGGGCTTTCTTACACTGAAAGAAAGAAGCTACTTCATACAGGAAGGGTTGTAAATCAAGTGTACAAGGCTGCCAAATCTATCAATGAGAATGTGTTGCTTGAAATGCCAGTACCAACAGTTATTAAGGATGCACTTCCAAAGGTAGTTGGCTGAATTTGTATATTTCATTCAATCGGAAATTGAAACGACCTGCATTTTCTCAGCCAAATGATTTCGGCTGGCACTTGCTAAGTGAAAATTATGTAACATACCAATAAATATCCCTAAGAGAGCAGTTGGAGGTGAGATGTATAATAAGGAACATGACGCAATAAATAACACTTTTTTCCTTTTTAAACACATTTTAATCAGAGCTTTGGTTCTTGGATAAATATCTCTAATTGCATTATTACTAAATATGCTAATATGTTGCAGTCTGGAAAGGCAAGCCTTGGAGAGGAACTGTATAAAGTGTTGAATTCTGAACTACGCTCTGGGGAAGAAATGCTTGAATCTCTTCAATTGAAATCTGAACACAGTGCTCTTGAGACCATAAACAAATTGGAAGCTGCAATATTTTCCTGGAAAGAGAGAATGAAGGAACAAGTTAGTGGCAAATCCCCACTTCGAACATCCTGGTCTTTTACTAAGGATTCTATGTCAGATGTGGATAAGATGGAGTTGCTGTTGGACCGTGCAGAAACTCTTGTGCAGATTCTCAAAACCAGATACCCAAACCATCCTCAAACATTTCTTGATGCCACCAAAATTCAATATGGCAAGGTCAGTTTTATGCTAAATGTAATATTACTCTTGATTGAGTGAACAAGAGGAAGAGAGAGATTAAAGAACAAGAAAAAGAAAAGCCTAGAAGCTTCTGGGGACCCTAAGTTTCTTCTTAAACAAAGTATGCAATTCGTGGTGACCATTTGACAATATTGTTATTTTTTTCTCTGTCTGTAGGATATTGGGCATTCCATTTTGGAAGCATACTCCAGGGTTCTTGGAAACTTAGCCTTCAGCATACTTTCTAGGATCGGAGATATATTGCAGGAAGATGCTTTAAGTAACCCCAATTCCCCTGTCGCAACAAGTTGTTCTCCAAGTATAAGTCTCTCTGAGACTTGGGTGGTTGGTTCACACATCAGACAGTCCCTGATTGGTAAGATGAACAAGGCAGATGGACGGTCCTGCGAGTCTAGTTGTGGTAGTAATTCTGATGTAGAACTTTCATATTTAGAGGCCAAATCAAGCTCTGTAACTCAAACACCAACTCGGAGTCGAGTGTGGTGTATTGGTAAAGAGGTCTGTACGAGCTTCTCTCCACAAAATTCCCCATAGTGGCATGAAGCTTCAGTTTTTGTAAAGGTTATTATCGGTTCTATGCTCAATGAAGCAGAAGCAAACTGATAGGTTTGCCTTATCATATGTATACTTTAGAGTGTTTGCTCATTGGAATGACCTGAGAATTTTTCTTCTGAGCTAAATACAATCTTTGTCATAGATATGGTTGTATAAAATTACCTTGTGATGGAAATACCAAATTATAGCTTTTTATGGAGGGAAAATCAGCGCAAGAAAATATTTCCCATTTTGCATCACGATAATTAATTAAAGTCACGAAGTCATAAAAAAGTATGTAAATAAACATACCCTTTGGACTTGATTGAGACAGGTTAAAGTCATTTGTATAGATTTCTTTTCGAAATTCCGTAATAAACACTTGACAATTGAATTTTTCTTTATAACTTTAGCTCATCCCTGCCATTTCCACCGGTGACCCTGAAATTATGAAAAGTTATTCTGAACTTGTGGTTTAAGACCAGAATCTCTCCTTAGAAGTAAACAAATTTTGATGCTGAATTGATTAAATCTGTGCAACATTTACTTTATTGAAAAGATAATATTAACACAATCAGCATAAAGATAACCAACGTCCTAGGGAAAAGATAATAATAAACGTTTTAAAATATTAATTTTTATTTCCATGGTGGCATTGTCTATCCTGATGCGTTGACTTCTACCCTCTGCACCATTCTCTTCTTATTGGACCACCTTTGAATAAGATTGATTCTAGTTCTCAAATTACATCATACATGAATTGATATCAAGCTTGATAAATCTCAAGGGCTTAGTTTACAGAGACAGCAACAGCACATGAAAAAAGAAGAAAAAAGTGGTTCTGCAAAGACTTAAACAGTAGTATGGGTAGTGTTCAGTGTCAACCCTTCATTGTGATACGAGTGCCTAGTCTCCATTCTTCTGCCAGCAGGAAAAGCACTTCTGATTTGATCTAGTTCTCTGGTTGCATCCCTCATATTCATTCTTTCTTGGGGTGGTTCAGCTGAACAAGCAAGTCCAATATAAAAAAGTTCAAGCAGGCACTTCTCCATGTGAATCTCACTTAGCCGATCATTCCTGTGCTTTTCTTCTTCAGCAGGTGGAGCTTTTTTGTTCTAATTCTCTGAGGAGGACAGGGTCCACGATTTGTGACAGTTTATCTGGCAAGGCAATCTTGACATATTTATGGAGATTAATACCACCTGCAAACATTTCGTCAATGGGTCTTCTTCCAGTGAGCAGTTCCAACAAAAGAATCCCAAAGCTATACCCATCTCCTTGTGTCGAAACTTCACCTCCTGTTCCATACTCTGCGATTCATATGCTTGGCACTCAATACTTAAAAATAGTGGTTAACCTCAACAAAAAGTAAAGAATGAGTTTTACTCTTTCTGAAGATTACAATGAGGATTTACAACGTCTAGAGGCTAAATAATACTAAACTGTACCTGGAGGAGTATAGCGAACAGTTCCCCTTATTCCAATTGTGCTACTTTGATTGTGAGAGATACCATTCGTAGTCCAGATAAGCTTTGCTAATCCAAAGTCACTCACATGAGCAACCATGTCATTATCAAGAAGGACATTGCTTGGCTTCAAATCACAGTGAATAACTTGCTGCTCATTTTCATCATGAAAATAGTCCAGTGCAGAACCAACATCAATGACAATATTTAGTCTTTGATGAAGGTCTAATGTTCTTGACTGATCTTCACTTTCAAACTCTGGATACAACCATTTATCCAAGCTTCCTTTTCCATGTAGTCAAAAACTAGAGCTTTAAATTCATTGCCTTTGAAGTCCATACTGGAGCAACATGTTAAAATCTTAACCAGATTTCTGTGTCTAACATTTCTGAGTGCCTTACATTCCGCAATGAAACTCTTGTGAGCTCCCTTCTTTTGAAGATTCAGTACCTTTATAGCAGTAACGCTGCCTTCTGACTCAAATTTCCTTTGTATACGAAGCCAAATGCACCAGATCCTATCAAGTTATCTGAAGAGAAACCACCAGTTGGCTTGTTAGTGTCTGATATGAGACCTTGGAAAGTTGGTTTTCCATCAACTGTGAGTGAAGGAGAAGAATTTCTTTGGCTTATTTTTCTTTTCCTGTACATAGCACCAAAGGATAATAACAGAAGGAGAAATAAAACCACAGAAATTACTATTAATATTATGTTCCAAGCATGAAATTTATGTTTCATAACAACTTTTTCAGGGCATGGTGGTAGATGTAGTGTTCTGATACCCCCAGAGTTCATTGTTTCCTTCCAATGATATCGAACTGGCATTTCGAAAGATACCTCCA